ATATTTATTGAACAATGTTAAAGCAGACCAGCCCAAATTTGTGTCTGACTTGTGTGGCGCCTCTTTCTGACATGTTCATCTGAATCAGCTCTCAAAGGGCCAGGGGACTTGTAGTAATGAGTCGGGATCCATCCATCATATGAGTAGTAAATGTGAGATGTCACATGTGATTAGGACTTGGCAGAAAGTGTGTGAGGGCAGCACAGGGGTCTGACAAATGACTGCTTGTTAGCTAGGTCTGCCGCCTTACCAGTCGGGCAATGATTGGTGCTGAAGCGCCAACAGATAAATAGACAGGCAGCAGATAGTGTCGGATACGACGTTAAGAGACAGAGCGCACGTTGACAGATGGGACATAAGGGTCAAGTCGGGGTAGTCGGATATGGAGGAGGGTGATGAGCTACTAGGAGTGACAGATGGATCAAATGTAATGGGGAGAACAGGGCTAGAGCTACAACAGCAGAAGGGCTGAAAAGAAAAGTATAAACCTTAAATGTGGTTTTACCTAAGGTTGCCTTTGTTGGTGGCATACTTGATATGGTTGCAAATGTAGTTATACATTCCATGGGCTGTTGTGCAGTCTCTGGCATCAAAAACCTGCAAAACAAAAATTATGAAAAAAAAAAACCCTACTCAGACCTTAAACTACAGAAACACTTTCTTTGGCACCGTAGTAAGTCTGCTGCAGATTTAGCATAATTGTGGAATAACTACTACAGTCCTAACTCTCAGAAAAAGTAAAGATCTTATTCATATTCTCAGAAAGTTCCTATCCAAGTCAAATCATTCCTAACAAACAACTGTAGATAGAATAAGGTGGATAGTTGCTTAGATTGACTAAGTAAACAATTGACTTAAGTTCTTGCTGAGGAGACGTTGTTGACTCTGTTAAGTGCAACACTGTCCTCTAAGATGATCAGTTGATAAAAGAAAATAAAACCTAACACAAAAGTGCTCCTAGATATCAATAGAGAGCGTGCCTCTGTTTACAAAGCTCTGATAGAGGAATAGATATGTTTTCTAAAATGACTTTGTCCAGGTATAACAGCGGGGCTGCAGACTTTAAAATTCATTGTTGTCTTTTTCTCAGTGCATTGTTGTCTCTCGTTTAACACAGAAAGCTGAGTACTTTCAAATCCAGAGAGGAGATCACAGTTCACAAGGGAATTACTAGACAATCATTCACTGCTATGGATACGATTCTTGTATGATACAAATATGTACATTCACCTCTTTTACATCTATTTCTTCATGTGCATAGAATATAAATGGTTTTCATTTATCTTATCCAAAGTATGTATTTATGTACGTATTTTTGCTGCAACTTTTTCCCCCCAATTCTTTTCAAACATTAAATATTAAAAACATGTTACTGTCTAAATACTATTAATCTCTATCAATGCTTTTGTTTCCTTAATCTTCTGATTGAATAATTGTTGGCCCACTGTAAGTCCTCCTCAAAACTAAAATTTCTTCGATGAGCTTTGTTAAGGTCTAAGAGGCTTTGTTAAAAAGCCTTTTTTCTGAGGTAATGTTCAGGAAATTCTCAAGATTTTTCCTAAAATGATAAGTGCTAGTTTTAATCTTGAGATCATTTGTCTGTAGGCATGATGGCAGCCATACGGTTACTCCTAGCCTAAAATCTTTAGACATTGTTAGTATATACAAGTGAAAACATGACTGGAATTCATCATGAAAGGGTGTGTGTGAAATCAGTATGTGGGGGAAAAAAAAAAAAAAAAAAGAGAAAAATGTTGCTCTGTCCACACCTACTGGTCGGTGGTGTACCACACTTTTAGCCATTTAAAAATATATATATTTTTTAGAATGCCTCTATGGAAAAAAGAAATATTCTTTTATTTCTCTAGAGGGGTGAGTACATTATTTATACCACTATATTTAATTCTAAATTACTTAAAAGCCAAGAAACTGAAATTACTGCTAAACTATTCTATTACAGTAATGGTGGTAAAGTGTTAAAATACGTTTTGACAATTAATTTTAGTTCATTGTGTTCACTTTTAGCTTTCTCTGGAAGACAGTGAAGTTTTGGATGAATGTCATTCTTCACATTGGCTTTTGCATAATCCTGAGATCTTATGGAAAGAGCTGTTTGAATACCATGTTATTTTAAGGCTAAGGCAGGTTTTTAACAAATTCCTTCTCTTTATTTACCTGAATAAAGTAAAAGGACCCAAACATATTTGTTTGCTTTGCTGTTGGCAAAAACTAAAACGACAAGCAAAAGGTTTTTCCACTAACAAGACACATAATCCATGACATATTGGTTACAACCTGTAGTTTGGACCACTGAATCCGTCCCACACACCGGGCAGCATTCCTCCAGGCATGTTTGGCTCCATAAATCAGCTCAGTGTCTTTCAGTTGATAAGTTCCTGAAGCTTCAATCTCTTTTGTCACCTCCTCCCACCTGTCTACATGGGCCTTGGAGCCATACCTGAGAGGCACAGGGACACAATTATCACAACTGACCAAACAGAATACTAAATTATGAGCATATCTGGCATTGTCAAACCAAGTAATAGGTTGTGAAAAAGGAAAATATCTTGACACATTGATAACATTGGTCCCTCATGAGTGCTGTGCCTAAAAAGAAGCAAAGTAATGTATTAATTGGTAAATATTCCAGAACTTAATTGGATAACCAAGACCCTAAAAGCAGGTGTCTGATTGGTAACATGTTATAATCAATGTCAGGCCTAAAGTTGACCTTTTTTTTTCATTTTTCTTTCATTTCTGCACAAGCAAAACACATCTTTATCAAAAAAAATAATACCAGCCTATGTAGAAGATAGTTGCCTCCTCTTCTGAACTTTAAATGTCATTTTTTTTGCAATGTTTTCATAAAGCATAAAGCCTGTATATGTAAAATTAAACTTTATAGCAAATGTGGAAATGTTAACTTGCCCTTAACTCTAAAAGTTAAGGGCAAGTACGATAGAAAATAGAAGTATAACAGCCAGTAAATAACAGAAAATGTAAAAGAAAATATAGTCCCAGAAAAGGTTAGACTATTTTACTGTTGAGCTTTAGTTTTCCTGTTAGTTTTCTGTTTATTAAAAAATTTAAAGTAAAAAGTTGCATGCTATGATAAAATTTGTAGATCTCTTTAGATGATGCATAAATTCAGAAATGAAAAAAAAAAATTCAGGAAGAAAGTGTCTTTTTTCAGATAAAAATGTAATTAGGATGGGATCAAATGAAGTTGAGATCAGTTTTTTGACTTAGTTAAAACATTTTCTGCTGTATTTCTGCACCGATTATCAGTGTGACATGCCAACAGATTTCTCATTTTGTTGTCTAGATCATTAGAATTAGATGAAAATCGAATTAAGTTAATCATTCAAACTCTAACAAATCTCACTGGTTTAGATTGCTTTCCGTTAAAAGCTTAACTTGCCTTTTAATAGATGTGTAGTATTGGTCAATAAAGTCAGCAGCCAAGGGAAGAAGCTCCTCTTTGGTTCGAACTTCGTCTGGTTTGCGTGCGTGCTGGTTTGGCACCATCACAGAACCGATGCAGACATTTTCACTACAGATTGGCATCTGCAATTAAGTAGGCAGATGAGTGGCGTACACCAAAATGCTAAACATCAGAAAATTCAAAAAACTAAACAAAAGGAAATGATAATAAAAACATGAAATTTGAAATTCTTTATACCCTTTAAAAAAAACTTTGCGCACAAACCTTAAACTCAATGTTATTTGTGGTCCTGCAATTCCAGCTGGGACAGTTTTACTGCCTTCAGTTCTCAACCTTTCATATGACTTATTGTACATGTCCCGGTTACAAGACCTCAGGACACCTACTAAGGAGATACGTCAAGGTTCAAAACCTCTGATAGTTCGTCACTGCTTGTCCAATCAGAGACCAAAAAGTAAGAACCAAGACCCTGCATTGTACTATCAAGTCATACCCAGACTATTGGATGACATTTCTATAATGATCTGTTTTATTATTAACTCTAAATCCTATACTCAATGTTTGAGTCACTGAATTGCTACATTTTTTTTTTTTTTTTTTTATAATCAATGGATAGTATGTGTGTCAATGAATGAGTAAGTCTATGAGTCATGTTGCTGCTTCATAAAACAAGGACTTGAAGACTGAAATACAGAAGGAGAGGCAAAGAAAAAAAAACAGATGGCTACAATGGGGGGAAAAAAGAAACCTTGATGCAACCTTGTGTCATCAGCTTATTATCAATATTGGTCAGCAGGCTTGATTTCTTTGGAGAACAAAGATCAGAAGTGGAGGGTTTTAGCAAAAAGATAATTTGACTATGACCCAAGTACATCCAAAATTGGCTTGTGAAGCTAAACCACCCACTGACACTTGGCCAACAGTTTAAAAAAGTGTGTCCAAAAAAACAAGAAATACAAAGAATGAAATCCATCTGTGAGCAAAATGAGGAAAAACAAAAAACATGGAAAACAAAAAGAAATGTTCAAGAATAAGAAAGAAAAAAATCAAGCTGGGAAAAGGTAGCCGACAACAAGCAATAGCAAGACCAATTAAACAAAGAGGTGACGGCAAAAATGGATGAGCAGAGTTAAAAATAAGACAAAGGAATAACTCATGCTCTAGCACGTCCGCTCATCACACTGCTCTGGGTATTCATGCCAGCCAGCTGTCCTTTTGGAAAAAGACGGATCATCTGTAATATATAATAAATCTGAAGATGCCATTACAGCTCATTCATTGGGATGCACACGACAGGCTATCTGCTAAGCCACCAAAGAGATTTGGCTGCTGTTTACAAATGGGCAGTGCTTGCTTTAAAAACAGCAATGCTTACCTATTCATGGGTAGATAGATTCTATACTAAAAAATAAACTTTGGTAGCACGATAAAATATGTCATCATGCTATTCGATGGCCAACTATAAGGTTTTAGCCATTTTAGTCCCAATGTTTTGGAGAATTATTTAGCATTTTTTATGTAATATAGAGAACCACCAAGAATGGAATGCCTTAAGATGAACAATATTGGTTTTGTTGTGTGCTTATTTTAGTATCTCAATTGTAACACAGCTTGGGAGAAAGTGTGCTGACCCATTTGTTGTTCATCATCAGCAATCATCATCAGCCCCCTCTGCTAGGAGGGTACGCCACAAATGGTAAAGAAACTATCAATGAGATTGCTGTAACCAAGTAAACTTATGGATAGTTTAATGCAGTGCAAAAATACAATTCTATCCATATATTCAATATTTTCCTAAGAAAACATGAGACTGAAGTCAGACCTTTGATTCAAATTATACCAAATCATATAATAATCAACATTAGTTCTATGATACTGACTGTATTCCAAGAATAAGGAATGGCACAACAGGCTACCCTTAAATATTAGGTGGTTAGCGTGCACACCGCTTTATCAACCCAGAAAGCTCATTTAATGTTCAGCCTTCAGCACTAGTTGAAAATCTTCAAAAACTATAGTTATTTGATCAGGCAAAAGAGGGAAGCCATGTTGGAATTATCCCAGGGTACTGGAAAAATATACGATTGTCTTCTTTTTTCTTAATTTCAAAAGTGACTAAAGTGTCCAGGTCCAGTAAAGTAAGGTCAAATCATCTTTGATGTCATCATAAGATCCAGCATGGTTTTTAACCAGACATTATTTTGTTGTTGTGATGATCCCCATTACTATGACTTTCAGGTCCTGTGATGAAACACATGATGCCAGCATCGAAGCCATAGAACATGGTCGGTCTAAAAGAACTCAGTAATTTAGAGGTTATGCAGTTTGATGAAACATCGGTATCGATATCGGTTATTGGCTACATGAGTTTTAAAATATCGGCATATCGGATATCGGCCAAAATCCCAATATCGTGCATCCCTATAAATAACTGCTGAACAATCTCATGGATGATGGTCTCCATCCCCTCCAGGGATGATTTGGGTTTCAATACAGCAGACCAATATCTTTTACGTCTAGAGCTAAAGAAGCCAGGTCTGCCATTGGGTTTAGCTGGATTTCATGAGACTGGCAGATTTAATGCATCCTTGTCTGTCAGGTCAGTTTTAGGCCTACTTCAACAGGTGGCCATGCAACGTCTAGTCAAATTCACCTGTTATCTTTAACACTGTATTAGTCTCTGTCCGTCTTATGAGCTTTGCAGGGTTTTCCTGCCTCTCAGACTCTGCTCCGCTAGCTTCAGCAGCTGCATTAAGCAGACACCCCATCCACATGAAAAAAACATCTGACTAGAGGGCTCTGATACAAACAAAGTCTATCTGTATGATGAAAATAGCAGCACTTTGGGGCGTAATCGTCATATAAAGAGGAAAACATGCATAAACTCTGTAGAGTTAAACTTAATGAATAGCTTTGATTTTTTCATTATAGGAATATACAAAATGTATACTTTTGGATTAAGATGAGCAATAAGGACTCATTTCAGCAAGACAGTTCACCATGGGCTCGTCTTAAAACAAGCTAATGTAAAATGATAAGGCTAAGATAGCCTTTTCTTTCAAAGTTAAGTAAACTAAGGTACAAGGGAAAAGGAATTATGTAAAAACCGATAAAACCCTGTTACATCAATGACCACAGTAATTAACTTATCAATTTAAAATGTACTTACATTACAAAACTAGTGATATACCAATTTCATAAAAAAATATGTTATTCAAGTTGTGCCATCAGTGGAGGCATTTCTGTTTCCCTTTGTACTTTTGATACCTGTTTTTTCATTTAAAAAGAGTGGGGCAGAATCCATACACTTATTCTTTATAATGGCATTAGAAATAGACTTAGACCTTGGTAGCAAACATCCCTTAGGTTTTTGTTAGTGGTTGCAGCAATGAAAAATGTATTTCAATAAGAATTTTTTTCCTGCCTTACCTTACTGCAACCGTGGTGGAGGACATCATTATAAATGGTGCCCGTCTCCCAGTTCTTGATCTTTATGAAGCGAGGGCATTTGGAGGGGCTGCCATTTTGCACAGACTTAATGGGTGAGGTCCTGCCCTGGGCTGTAGACTGCAAAGAGCACACAGACATTTAGATTTGCATGAATTACAACTGTAAGTACACTAATAGGCTCTGACCCTTGTAGCAAGTGGTGCAGGATGGGTGAGCCATTTCCCACCAGGAGTCACATTGAGAAAAGCTGAAAAGTGACACAGCCCTCCAACTGCCATGAAGCAAATGTGAGCGAGACAAATAGACATTAACGGAAGAGTTTAAGACAAACAATCATTATAGGGATGCATTTCATCATGCAATCAGTGTGGACCCCAGCTCTTACTTCTCAGAAGAAAATTGTTCTGCATTGTGCTCAAGACTCTCTCACAGAGACTTATGAAAGTAAAGCCCATTACAGAAACCATTGACATTTTTCCATTCTTACAGTTCCATTTCATTTTTTACTCCATAATAAAAGCAATCAGCACCAAACAGTCGAGGGTAAAACTGCTCTCCCTTGATTGGGGTTCTCAAGCTACTGACTGATCAATAAAGGCAATTTAACCCCAAAGTCGACAGTAAACGTTCCTCGCGAAAAGCAGCAAGTGATTGCCGAAGATCAACGTAATCAATGGCACTTTCTTGAAGCTCTCTCATCATCTCCTACAGCATTGTTAATTACACATTTAAACGGTTCTGAGCAACAGGAACACAATCATTATGCTTTCTGGAGGGAATACCAACAGTGTTGACTGGCTGAGTCTTTGTGCTTTAAAAAAAAAAAAAAAAAAAAATCATTATGCTTTCTGGAGGGAATACCAACAGTGTTGACTGGCTGAGTCTTTGTGCTTTAAAAAAAAAAAAAAAAAAATCACAAAAAGAGATCTGGAGGTTTGAACAGAAGACATAAAGACATTTTCTCATGGTATGTTCAGGCTCAAACATCAGCAAGACTCACTGCATGGTTAAGCAGTGACACATGATTGACACAGAAATGTTGGAAGAATTCAGTGCTGAGAAAGTTTTATTCAGAATTCCCCAAAAGATTTTCAGAAACATGATTTCTTGACAGCCAAAAAAAAAAAGGAAGGCTGTCGATTTGCTAAAAACTTTGGCATTTCATTTTATGAAAAATGCAGCATGGACACTTTGGTAGTATTACTTTTACATGAACAGATTTTGAATGTCAGTGTTCTCTGAATTTTCAACCTAGAGTAGATACAAATGGGAATTTAAATGTCAAAACAGAATATATATATATATATATAAGAATGGTAAATCATTTGACTCTTGCATCTAAAGCATCCAGCTTCATAAGGCATGGGATTTGTAAATATTTGACAGACAAGATGACAAATACAATTTGATGGAAAAGGCAAAGCATTTTGTCACTTATTTCAGGAAATGAAACTTGTTTGAATTCATGTAATATTTCAAATCCTTATATATAACCATTTATGATTATAAGCCAATAAAAATTATTACTTTAAACCAACTAGAAAAAGCATTTTTAAAGTGAAAAATGTGTTACTGCCATGTTACAGGCTTAATCACTGAGACAAGAATTTTGTCATTACTCAAGCAACCCTTCAAAGGATTGTAAAATTAAATTTAAGTTAGTTCAGTGAAGTTTAATCGCTATTGAAATGAAACTGGTGTTCGCATTTAAAGACCCCCCTAAAAGAAATCTTAAACTTCGGCTATAGGTGTTGCTTTTGCTCATTAAGCCTCCCTGAAACTAAAGATGTCAAATGCCTCTCATTTGTGACGCATTCCACCCATCCTTGGAAGTTGAAATTTCCTACTTTGTTGGAAATTTTTAAACTGGAATACTCGCTGACATCAACAGGATGATACCCGACTTCCTATAAGATGGATGCTACTCATCCTAGGCATTAACAGAAGTTACATTTTCCTACTTGATTTTTGTAGCCAGTCTTCATTTTGTATGAAGCTTTAAGAGCTGTTTGAGCACTACTGTACCTTTAGGTGTTTATTGTTGCTTTTAGTCTTCTATAAAAACTGCAAGAATGCAGTGACCAGTCATTTCTTTTTGGGTAAAACAGCCCCATAAAGTTATGATCTATTTATTATAAATGAATCTGCATGTCCACACCTTTGTGGACCTGAAGCAAAATGAATAAGTTAAGCATCAACTGCTGGTAAAAAAATAAAAAATAAAATAAATTTTTTCTCCTTTTCTAGGTTTCCTTGTTTTTCTTTAAACCACAACTCAAAATTACGTTTTATATTTCCTGTATCTAATTGATCTAAACATCCCTCATCCCACCCTATAGATATCAATTGAAAAACAATGATGTCACAAGTGAGGTACGGATGTAGAGGGAGGGTCTGCTTTACAAGAAATGACAATAACAGTTAATCTGATGAAGAAAATGGCATAATGGAAATAATTTCCAAAGTCTTTGCAGCAAATGTAGTTATACAGTAAAAGCTCCTTGTCCCAACCATTAAAACTTCTCATAGGAAATTGAGATGATGAGAATCAAGATGGTGGGGGTGGAATGAGAGAAGCAATAGAAAACGGATGACACAGACAGCTTAAGAGGAGAAATTGTCATTGTTAAATATTAATGCGATTCTCAGGATTAAGAAAAAAAAAAAAAGATTGTGAGTCACATTTCCCGATTTCAGCAGCCTCTTCATTGAGAGTGTCACCAGAAATCGGGTGAAATTTTTTGCCATCATAGTTTTGCAAAGTGATTACATATGAATCATAATGGAGGAGTAACTTTAGCTGAAGAATAAAAATCTTTTGTCTGAGAGACAAAACTGGATTGCAGTTCAACATGTCATCTGAAATTCTGGCAGTTGGAAAAAAACTCAACTGGCACTTTCTTAAAAATACTCAGGCTCAATAAGATTATCAACAGAGAGATATTTCATATTTATTCCAATTTTGGGAAAAATAAAATGTAAAAAGTTGAATTCTTAAGTCATTCCACTCGTCATCCTGCAGTCGGTAATAATAAAAAAAAAATACTCGCTTATTCTCCCAAAATGTTCACAGGTCTAAGTGGCTGGATTAAGCGAAGGCAGGGAGTCTATTGATTGGAAGGAACAGTTCTGCAGCTGCATGTATTCATTGGGTCTACTGGAAATATTCCATCCTATCCGGCTCTATTGATGACGACTCCAGCAGCATCAGAAATGTGCAGATAATGTGGCATTGCAGATTGTGACACTACCCACATCACTCCAACCCGTGATGAGATCCTGTGTGTGGAGGTCATATTCAATGCTCAGAGAGCCCAGAACTTGAAAGACGCAATGCTTATGTGCTTTGATCAACAGGCAATTTAACACGGCCAATACAATTAAACTTTAATGTATTTTATTCTTTTTTCTTATTTTTTTCCCTCTTCCTTGTAAAAAAAAAAAAAAAAAATCATGCTCAGTCTAATTTGATGCAGAGTGCCTGTTTAGATTGAACTGGCTGCAGAGTCTTAATTACTGCATGTTTAGTTCTGGAATGCACTGTATCTAGCCAATCGTAGCTCTGGTTGTGTGTTTAGCATTGACCTGCTGGGAGGTGAAGTTCCACCCTTATATCCTGTCTTTTGCTGTTTTTAAAAGGTTATCTTTAAAGATCACCTTGTATAGTCCTCAATAGGGTCTCTCAATCTACTTTGGCCAGCTTCTTTGTCTCTGCTAAAGAAATAGATCACCTCAGAACAATGCTGCCTTCATTATGCGTCTTTCAACTCTTCCTCAAAGGCCAGAGTTGTTAAATATATGACTGATCCATCTTCTTGACAAACTTAATACCCCAGCTGTCAAAATACTCAACACCACTAGATTTGTCAGCAGCCCATGTGTTGAAGTTTACAGTTACATGAAAAATGTAAAGGAGTTACAAAAACTTTGTGGGCTGGTGAGCGAGACCCAAATAGGACAAAAACTCTCATATTACTGCTTAATTAATGTTTTGTCAATTCTTTTATTTACCTTGTCAATATCAGCATTGTGGTCTGCCACTGGCATGTTTTCCATCACCCTGTCGTTATCTGAGACCAGCTGCGTGAATTTCTCATTTCCCACCCCGAGATCCCTGGAAGAGAGAAAGAAGGTTTCCATTAGGTGTGTCCTCTCTGATCTTGTGCAAACCAATTTCATTTCAATTTAAAACATGACATAAAGCAAACCCAGACAATCAAAGGTACACACAGACTTGACAATACTCAGGTTTGGGTTAGTTGACACAACACTTGTGTGCTCACCAACATGCTATCAAAATTATGACATCCCTCATCATGTCTAAAAACACAGCCCCTACATAGCATTGTTTTTATTTTAAGAAGGTTACAAGTACATAGGTTTGTTTAATGTTGGAAAGTGGGCTAGTTGTGTTCGGTTAGTCTCTGTATGACTTAAGTATCCTTAAGCCAATTCAAAATTTCACCTAATAGGTATGAAAATTATAATTTGGGATAACACTACAACTAATATTTGAGTTACAGGGAAGAAATGTACAAAATAATGATACTCTATCTCAGTTTGAGGCAACTGCTTTTGATGCCTAATAAGCATTGTGTGTGTTTGCTTTGGGAGGAGGGGGGGGCCACAGCATAAAACACAAAGAATTCCCCTAGTGAAGTTTAGTTCTCAACTAAAACGCCCACCCAGATTTTGCCTCCAAAAGTCCCCCCCCCCCCCACCCCACCCATCTGCCCTTGGCCCATCGCCATAAGCATGTGTCGCTGCCAATTGTCAATCCTTGCAGGCATTATTTCTCTGTTTCACACTTCCTTTCACGTACCATCCCGTTATTGCCACAATTTTGCAAAGCATATTCTTGCCAATGCAGTAGAGTTGGGGTTCAAACAGGCTCAAACAATGGGAGAAGTTGCATGTGTCATTTGAGATTAGCACTGACTGACGCAGAGAATCATCTGTCTGACGTCCTACTGTGAAAATATACCTCCTCCCCGGCTGAAAACAAGCAATGTTCATTGTTTCAGTCTTTTCTGTTCCTGACAAAAGGTCTTTAAAAGCTGATTCGAAATACTAATGTGGAAAAACTACCAAGAAAAATATTAGCTTAACTACAGCTTGGAGATCTTCCTATTTCCTAGACAACCTTTAGTTAGATAACTTAGAGATTGCTGAAAGTCTGAAAGGCATAAAAGAATTTGTAAGATGGATAATTTATTAACCCTTTTTTATGTAATTGTGTTATTCAAGCATCCCTTGGTACACTTTTAACAAACTTTTCTGTTGTTGAAAGTGTAAGATTGGTCAGAATTGTTCTCTTTTGTAGAGTCATTATACTGGGCTGGACACTACATTGTACAGGACTAAAGAAACTACTAAAGGCACAAAAGTACATTTTCTAAGCTTTGTTCCTATTGTGCAAATTAACAAACTTAAAAAAAATATGAGGCATTGACTCAAATGATTCCATCCATTATCTGACATGCTTGTCCCAATTGGGGTCTCCAGCAGTCAATGGACGAGAGGCGGGGTACACCCTGGACAGGTTGCCAGTCCATCGCAGGGCAACACAGAGGCAAACAAGACATACAACCATTCACGCACACACTCACACCAATTAACCTAACAGGCATGCTTTTGGACTGTGGGAGGAAGCCGGAGTACCCAGAGAGAACCCACACATGCTCAGGGAAAACATGCAAACTCCATGCAGAAAGACCCCGGGACAGGAATCGAACCCCAAATCTTCTGCTGCAAGGCAGCAGTGCTACTCACTGCCCCACTGAGCAACCCGTTTAGGAAGTTAATTACAATAAGAAGGTAACATTTAATAGCTGGCAATTTAGGCAACTCTACACATAGTAAAGCTGTGACTAAATGGTTCTTTGCATATCCAAAATGGAATTTCACTAGCACAGTATGAGGTCCGTCATTGACCCCCCTTTATGAACAAAGGTACTGGATATGGAGATCATAGTAGTCAAGCTAAACAAGATATATGTGGGGAAAATCTCATATGGTTGTGTCCAGATAGTCATTTCCTTTAACTCCCTCAAATAAATTTGAAAAAAATCTGTCATCTGTATTCAGCAAATCTGAATTCCTGTTAGACATGCGAAAAAATGTGGCCTTTAACCTCAACTCAAACTGAAACTGATTGCCCAAATCCTTAAAACCAAATGTCATAGAACTGACTTTTTTTTAATTATCTTTTTTTTTTATTTAAACATATTGGCGTTTCAGAAACCTCAGCCTTTTAAAGAACCTGGTTACACCGTAATCTTGGTCATTTTCTTTATTAAATTTTTAACTGTAAAAGATAAAATTTTGATTCCTTTAAAGACTAAATTTAACAGAGACATGAGAGATGAGAACTGATTATGCACAAGAATTACCTACATAAGTAGATTAGTATTAGTCTGGTTTTGTTACAAAGTCTTCGTTAGAGGATGTTTACGTGGGGTTAAAAAGGCCAGAGGAGTGCTACAGCACCTGACTACCAAAAGGGTGTGGTCACAGCATTCAGGACATTGTGTTTCTAAATGTAGATGCAATACAATGGCAACATCTGTAAAAATTGGTGTAAGAATTTGGAAAAGGTTATCTTGAAATCTGACACTTATCAAAACAGGACAACACAAGATATATTGATATATTGTGTTAAAAAAAGAAATACACCAACTTTTAAAGACTTAAAACCTGTTTTTTCTTCACACTCTACACACTCCTTCTGACAGATGGTCAGCCACTAACAAAGGAGAGTTCACTTAAAAAGGACAGCCTGTGGTATTATTTTCATGTCTGCAAAATCGGTAAAACTTAAAGGTGTAAGAAAACCTTCTGTAAACAAGGTCAAAAAAGTCAGCAACATTTAATCAGTGTTCAGACGTTGAAATACTTTGTATAACGATCAAAATGGACTCTTGTAGAATTGTGTAACTGTGATACAGCTCACTGTGTTGCTGATGGAAAGAAAACGAAAATTAGCATAGTGTGGCTTAAACAGCTTCATTGCATTTAAATAAAGTAATCAAATAAACTTAAATAAGCATTAAAAATGCTCTTTTGGTGCATTCCTGGAATTTGCCATTTATATGCAAGACCTGCAAAGAAAGACCTTATCCTACCACTCAACACCATGCGTTTGGTTATTAATTTGCTTAGTTTTAGCTTCAGAAATGTTCAAATCCAGTTCCTCTAAACTAATTTAAAAGTATTGTTTTAGTGTGCTTCAACAAACCTAAGCATGGAAATTAAATCATATTTATGATGGGCATAAAATTATTTGCATTGGTTGGCTAAGAATGAGAAATTGATCATAAACAGACTGCGGCCTCAATCCGATTACAATTTATCGCAGAAGCAGATAACCCAGATGCCAATAACAGAACCCTGTGCAGATCATGTAGGCAAACACAAACATTGATTTTTTTTTTGCCCTGAAAGGTCTTGTAAAACCTACTCCCCAAGGACTGTTAAAACTTACAGTACTTCAGTTATTCTACACTTAAGTGCACCATTTATGACCCTCCTGATTAAATCCTCATAAGATCATTGACAGCTGAGCTAATGATTTGACTTTTCTCCACCAAGCTCTAAACTTTAGAACTGAGACTCTCTTTAACAAGCTACCTCAAAAATTTGAAATTTGTTGGATTTTGCCACCACATTTAGCAGCTTCACAGTAAAGAAAAGCTGTAACACAGATGAGAGACTTCAAATGGAACCATCATAATGGGTTTAACAAGTCAAGAAATGCAGCTGACAAATATATTGCAAATACTGTCACTTTAAGTGAGGTTTACTGGAGGCCAGCATGCAGACATGAATTATGTACACCACTGTAGTCTGAGTCATAGTACTGACAGCCTGGATGTAACAGTTAATGCAACACAGATGTGCCAGGCTGTTAAAAGACTGCATGATGGCACAATGAACAGGAATTCTTTCAGTAACCAAACCAGTTGCAAGCTCTTCCTTAAGCCAAAAACATTTTCGCTCAAGGGTCTCAGGTCTAATTCTAACTGGACTTCAACTGCAGTAATCAGCTTTCAGGAGAAAACAGGACATGCACAGTTGAACTAAGCAATCAATAATGTTTTATCACATTGGAAATTACCATGCCACTTGAATCTCTGCATCTCTTCTCCCTGCATTCCGCTGGCCTTCTCCGTTAATCTCTTTTTTGCTGTTTTTGATGAGGTGCAACACAGGTTCAATCTCCTTTAGAAGGTCGTTGTTTTCTTCCAACCCATTGCATAGGAGAGCCCCACGGCCTCCATCCTGGCCCGGCACGCCTCCTCTCTGCAAGAGAGTCTGGGTGATGGAAGGAGAGGACAGGTTCTCAATGGCCCTCAGCTGGGGGTCTTTGTTGAGTTGCTGCCCAGGACTGTATGCACTGAGAGGGGACCACTGATCAAAAGACTTGGAGGGTGGGAAGGTTGGTCTGGTGATCCTCACCGTACGCTGACGGCCATCTCTGGTCAAGGTGGTTTCCAAGTGGGTGGTGAAGCCTTCAGGCCCACGGAGGATAAGCACAGCATGGCTCTCAGGGGACACATTTTTCAAAGTCTCCAAAGCTCGCTCATAAGAGAGGTCCACCAGTGGCTTGTTGTTGACAGCCAGCACGATGTCACCCACCTGCACCAGGCCGCACTCTTCTGCAGCTCCGCCGCGAATCAAGTCTGACACGATGACAGGTGGCTTGGACACTCTCTGCTTTACCAGGAAGCCCAAGCCACCAACTTTCCTCTTAAAAAGGCGAACTGAGATGATGTTGGGCTGCAGCTGACAGACTGTGGGCTCTGACTCCTGCATTGTGCTTGTATGAGACTGTGTGTTTATTTATGCTCACTTGCACGATTGCCCTCAGGTTCTAAAAAAAAAAAAAAAAAGAAAAAAGAGGAAACAAAGATATTCAAGTTAAACTAGTAACTCATAGACCTGTCCAGAAGCCTTAATGCCTCTGTACTAACTGGTTTAAAAACATTCTCTGCTTTCCCTTTCTTTTACAGGTACATTTTAAAGGCTACCAATTAGATCTTGAAAATCTCTCAATCTCTCAAAAAGAAAAAGAAATAGAGAACTGCAGAACTGGAAACCATATGTTCCACAGTTATCGGAGAGATGTGTTTGCACAGCAAACATAAGATTAGCAGCAATCATTTGAAAAGCAAATATATAGATTGTAATACTGTAAATATTTAATTACAGGTGATTTGCATTCAGAAATCTCAAATTCCATTACTAGCAACATTTCTTTTAAAGAGCATCTGTAATTTAAAGATAAACATGACATTTTCATGGTTGAACAATCTTTAGCATCAAAGATAAAATGCAAGTTTGCTTTATGTTGAGAGAATTACTATGTTTGTGTAATGGCAAAGATTTTCTATACATTAAAGTGGAAAATATGCTTTCGGATATAGTAAGCAATGTGTTCAGTTTTTTAAAATGTTGCAAACATCATTTGGATCATTTATATAGATTGCAATCTAATTAAAACTCAATTATCTGAACAACATTAAAGTGAAATAGATGAAGCTGCATTTCCAGAACCTTCGTAAGACAGAGGTAATTTGGTTTGGAACGACTGATCATGTCTTTTCAGTCAATGTTTTTGGGTAATTGCATTTTTGTTTTTTTTTAAGGATAATTCTGAAAATGCCCATTTAATTTGACAAGCTTTAGTTAAAGAACAAAGGATTATTGTCTATTCAAATTTTGTCTAAAAGCATTTAATTTCTCTAAATAATTTTGGATGGCAGCTTTTGATTGAGGTGTGCTATAGTTGGCATGCATTTCAAAGTTACAGGATTGCAGTACTTAAGGTGCAGTAGGAGATCTTAGAAAAACGGTTCCAGCAAGCTAAATTTTTGAACATACACAACCATGCCTCACCCTTCAGACCACCTCTCAAAACCACGCCTTCAAAACACATGAACGTGCATGCTGTCTGCAGTGTATCTAGAGTAGCAGGAGTAGCACTTCCGAGCAGCAGGAGCAGCGCATCCGAGCAGCAGGAGCAGCGCTTTGCTGATCTGGGAGCTGGCACTGAGACAGGCACAGCACGATGCAGTGCGCTATGATCACTCTTCTGAAACAGATTATTAATGCCTAAAGTAACTTAAAATGCGGTAATCTGCCAGCAAAACATGTTCGCTTTTACATGCATGAAAAATGCCTTCCAGCCGCTGCGGCAAACCGCGAGGAGGCAACCGGGTCAGAGGCTGCTGCTGAAAGTGATTCCTAGTGACGGCGCACAGCCGGTGTACGGGGGTCTGAGCGGCTCCGACAGAAATAGTATTTGAAGGCAGGATGGTAATCTGGATGAACAGACTGCACTGACAATGGTTTCAGGTGGACTTTCTCACTTCAAAATAGATTGAAACTACTTTTCACCCACTGATCACAGCAAATATAGCTGCCATTGTCACAGGCAAAGAAAGGAAACGGTAGCTCCACCCAACGCCCATTTTTCGACCGTGCAGCTAGAGCAGCAAAGATGCTTCAGCCGCACATCAGAACTAAACTTGTACAAGCATCAAAAGCAAAGCAGCACACACACCTTCGCTGCTCTTGCTGCTTTAGGTGTGAACGTAGCATAACAGTGGCTACCTTCCAGCCATGGCGTCCTGCATGAGCATTGAGGGAGTCGATTCGTTCATGTGTCAGGGTACAGTACGCTCACAGGGCGGAGGGACAAGCAGACGACCATGATGGACGTGTCAGGAACCGATAGTGTATAACTGACCGTGTTTTGTGATTAGTGGATGTTACTCATTGATTTCACACTGTAGCGGGGACCATTTATTTTAGTTTTACTTCCAGACCTTCTATTTCACTGCTTGCTACGCGACTGTGGGGAGATCTTCAAGCCACATGGTAAAAATGCGTCAGAAAAGATCTCCTACTGCACCTTTAAGGAGTGGATCCCTGGTCTTGATTAAGCTTCCATTCAACATTTAATTTTCACAAATGTACAACTTGCTAGTGATTATTTATATATATATATATATATATATATATATATATATGAGAAAAAAAATTGTTGCTCTATGCTTGTCGAGGTTGTTGAAGATGTAGAAACAAGGTGTTTCAGCGATCAGGTTAAAAATTTGGACTGAAAATAGAGGTAAAAAAGTAATGCTATTAAACGATTGCTTTTTTTGTGATTGCGTCCACACAGTGTGAACAAATTAAGCACTTTCTGGGTTCTAACAGACATGGACACCATGGGGCAAAAGTAATTAACTAATTAACTAATTAACAATGTGAGTAAAGGCATCAGGCTTGACATCAAAATTGTTAAAGAAAATGTAAGAAATTATAGATATGAATCTGTACTAGCTACTCTGCCTGATTATGTAACCAGCATTTCAAACATAGAATTCAAGTGACTAGAGGCTGCAGCTGGGTAACTGTGTATGATATCAATAAAATGAAATAATTGGATCGGAATGCTAGATCGGTATCAGAACAGATATGCAATACAAGCATCAGATCGGTGCATCTCTAGAAATAATTGAAAGTCAACTTGATAAAAGCACTAGATATTTTTTAGATTTTTCCAGTGTCTTTATCAAATTGTTCCCTAAAGGCTTAATCCAAGATGCAAGTTATCCTACATAATCTATTCTGTTTTCTGCCCCCCTCCCCCCAGTACGCTACAAAAAAGGGGACAAATAGTCAAGTAACATAGTTGCAAAATAATTGAATAAACCAACAATTAAAACAAATATTGTGATGAAAACTGAATTTCTGTCAATTTGCTGGAGCAGCTGTCCCTCGACAATCTCTGCTAAATCCTGTTGCTTGCTGTATATAGGGCTTCTAAATAATGCACTTTTATGGCTGTGTAGGAGACAGATGTGAGTTTACCATGTTAAAATATTGTCATTCAAAAAACTTGTGAAAAAATTGTAATTGAACAAATGGTGAAATATAGATGATCAGTTGCAAGACTTACTTTCCCTCAGTGTATAACAAAAAAGGGGAAAAAAAAGTTTGTTAAAACTATCCATATTCTTTGTCAATTAAGTTTTTTTATACTTCTGCGTCCTTTCAGACATTTATGTTTAAACTATAACAGTAAAAAGAGTTTCAAATATAATGTATTGCTCTCAATTCCATGCGAACTTTATTTTCCGAGGCTAAATACACTTGACAAGTATTTTTTCCCCAATTGTTATGCCCGATTGCGACTTTGTTTACCTATAACTTCCCCTTAAAACAATGCCTAAATGTGCTAGCCTTGATTTGTCTTTTTGCAAATATTTTAAGACCAATGAAACGATCCTTTTGTGTTTGAAATTAACTGCGGTTTTCACTTTTGGAAAAATATAGACATCTCTGCAGCTCGCCGCGTGGGTGGCGTCGGAAGGAATGTGCCTTGTGTCAGAGAAACCGGAGAGCCGCAGCTCCGCGTGAGCAGTGGGTACATTGGGGGCAGGCACTGTGACCGCAGCGGGAATAATTCAGCACCAAGGTCAGCGCTCTGCCTCCAGAGCAGCTTGTGTGAGAGCCGTCTGTTCTGTCACACTCTACGTTTATAATCAACAGCACCACGAGCACACAGAAAAGTTGGGCTCCACAGGTTTATAATACAGAAACTTCTGTAGATGCGAGAAGCTATATTATTAAAGGCAACTCGAAGCTTCAAACACCGACATATCTAAGCGTTGTGGCCTCGGGGAGATTTTTTTTCTCTTTTATATACACATACATACATACCACACACTGCTCGTTTAAAATGCATAATGTGAACTCTGGCTGGAATAACTTAATCTTGTGATCCTTTACTTTCCCGTTTTTGTACCTGTACCCCACTGAGATACAACAGCTGGAACGGATAGGGAAATGGAAGGGAAAGGTGTTCTGAATATCGGGTCTCTGGGGATGCTGCCGTGTCTGGGTGGGTAAGACTCTATTTAGGGGTTGAAATAACCAAAAACCCACAATCAGAAGCAAACAAATATTAACTAAGGAATTTATCCAACCATATAACAAATTACAGGAAAGATTATATAACAAAATACAATTATGGAGTGGGAAGTATCACTGCCGCACTCAGTAGCATCATGAGTAGCTGCAGAAGACAACCCAAAGTCGTTTGTATGTTAATTCGTTTCATAGCAACTGGAAATTATTCCTATTTATTTCCAAAGAAAGGAAAGGCCTGCTCAGTTGCATCCACGTATTCGTGGATTGAAGCAGATATCAGTTTTCTATTCAACTTATCAAGGAGCAGACTTACTTCGTATGCTCAAAAAGGTCGACCTCTCTTGGCTTGTTCCCCTGGACAGTCAGTTATATGAAAACAAACTTTAAAAATTTTAACTGTTTTTTTTTTGCTCACCATGTATTAGAAAAAAAAGAAAAAAAAGGAGAAATAGAGCGGGGGGAAAAAACAAACAAAATTATACCCAAGAAAAGAAAGGGTGGAATGCTTAATTAAGAGAACATTGGGAAGTGCGTTATTTGGAGTTCATGTCCATATAAGGCGAAGGAGTGAGCGGTTAAAAATGTGAACTTTCGGCTCCAAAACTGGATTTCCATGTTTCACGCCCGAAACATTTACACTGAGATCTTTGCAAGTCCAAGCAAAAAAGAAAACATACCAAGAGCAACAATTGCCTGGCGGCATATATGACAGTCGCGCATATAGATATTTAGAAAGAACTAGTCTTTTCCCGAAAAAAAAAATCAAAAAAAATCAAGAAAAAAAAAAAAAAAAAAAACATAACAAAAGAACATTTTTTGACTGATGTCTTCTCTTGCGTATGTGCACAGAAGGAGAAATACGCAGGGCTTTCCCTTTACCCGTTAATCAAGTGATTTTTTATTATTTTCTTTTTAATCAGCAACAAGTCATGGTGAGACTTTTAAAGAATTCGAACCACTGCACATACAAAAAACTAAACTAAACTTAAACTGTTCTTACCATCTCTAGATTACTTTAATTATTCCTCATCAAAATCGCCATATAACAGTGGAATGCGCAGCTATGATTAACGCAGATGCTGGAGGAGAGAAGGAGAGGGAAAACAAACAAAAAATCTAATGCGGGTTGGGACTTACCCTGGAGAACAAGGTCTCTTTGTTTAAATGACCTGCAGCAGTAAAGTTGGGATACAACTCCTGTGCTCTGTTCAGCTGAACTGTTCTCTCCCTCTCTGGACCAAAGCGTCTCCAAGTCTACGCGCTCTGCCTCTCTAGAGACGAGGCATGCTTGTGGCTCTCTGCGCGCAGGGGCGCGTTTTAAATACCAAGCGACGGGAGCCTCTGTGACGAGGCTAAGAGGGAGCAGTGCGCGCGCATCGACATCTACTGCAGGTGGGTTTACGTAGCCGTCGTCACTCAGCATGCAGCAACAGTCTTGTCAAATGACAATCCCCACTTTTATCAGATGTGGCCATACACGGATCGTAGAAAAAAGAAAACTTTGGCTTTCTAAACCTTGTAACGCTCTTCTTGCATTGCAGACCTGATACGAGTTCGTTTGTATGCCATAGAATTCGAGAAGTTTTATTTTTTTATACTGCGGTTATAATCAAATAGATTCTGTATTTACTTCACTTTCCTATATAGTAGTTTCTATGAAAACTATTCCTACACCACAGACAAATATATTCTCTGGTTAGGAATGCAAACCACAGTAAAGCTTATTGGAAGCATGTACACAAAAATGGATACATTGTTTAGAAGTATGCAGAAGGAAATGCGTGCGTTTCCCCTCCCTCCCAAGACAAATAAGTAATATAAAAAGGTTGGTAAATTACTGCAAAGCAATAATAAAATGCAAATATACATTATCCTTTAAACATCAACAATTTAGTACATGCAACTGTGTTCTAATACAATGCATCTAATTCCAACTGTGCAGGGGGTCTTTGTTTCTTGCTGAACAGCAATATAAAAACTCAACACAGCAGAAAGTGTTCCATGTAGGATAAGGTTAAAAAAACATTAGGTTTTAAGAATTTCACAGATAACTGTTATGCCAATGGAAAACTTAAATTGGCAACTGCAAACATACCATAATGTGGCCATAAACTTGATTGTGGAATTGATGTCACATACAGCAACAAGGCTCTATAGAAGGTTATACAGTTCTTAATTGGCAAACACCACACAGAAAACATGGAAAATATAAAATCTTGCTTTTGTCGGATCCCAACTATTTCTGCAGCATGTCATGAAACTCAGACATTGCAGAACAAAACACTAGGATTTCTTTCTCTGTGAATCATTATGGTGGCAGAATTATGCTGTGGGGATATTTATCTTCCGTAGGACAGATGGTGGTCAGAGTTATTAAGATGGATGCTGCCAAATAAAGCGACATTCCAGAAGAAAATCTATTACAGTTTGTAAAACACTTGCAGACAAATATGTTTTCCATACACTCAGTTTAGTTGCCTCAGAGATTACAAAAAACAAACTGTATTTCTCTCAATCTTTTTAGCATTGTTCATTTCGTATTTTTTTCATTTAGCCAATTTTCAAACCAGATCTGTGATAACACTACAGGCTCTGTGTGATCTTTTAGCAAGACTGTCTTTTTTTCAGCAATCCAAACATATTTTGAACAGAAACTGCATTTAACTGCTAAATTTCCTGTGCTGGTATTGAATATAACTGTGGGCATGTTCACCTTTTTTAGTAAGTGGAATGATTATAAACAACAGCCTCCTAGACTCTTTGTATTGGACATGCCATTACCAATGCCAACCTTGTAGCATTTCCGGTCAAAGTCTTGCTGTGGGTACTGTATTTCACAATAAAAGCACAGGTGAAACTTATCACAGACTGCTACCGAATTGTTCTCTATGAGAAACTTTTGAATCGCCATTGGAGACCATGAATTTCTAGAAAAGCCCCAAAAGCTCTGAAGATGTAAAAAAAAAAAAAAAAAAAAAGAAAAAAAAAAAAAAAAAAAAAAAAAAAAAAGAAAAAAAAGGTCCACTTTGGTTCAGCTGTGTCTGGATGACTGTCACCCAAATCCTCCAAATCTACCCCTGCAGAAAGCACCGATGCTGGGGAGTGGGCAGTGAAGGACAAGGGTCTGTGATGGAGATAAGTGAGGAGAATTAACAATCCTTCAAGGACTACATTAAAGCAGCTTTTTTTAAAGCCACCTAAACACCTCAAGCGCATTCCTTATTTAACACATTATTATTTCTATCTTTAAGCCATTTTGAGAGGAGAAAAAAGCCTTGCCTACTACTTGTCCCTGATTGGTTGCTGTGTTGTAGTTTCACAGAAAAGTTCAGCTCGTTTCAACTCCAGCGATCACAGCTGCACTCTCCTTGTGGTGCTGCTGTAGTATTAGGTGAGAGCAGAGCTCTCTTTAAGGGGGTGCTCGGGCTTAAGAGAATATGTATTTGTTATTATTTAATCTTTTAATGTGAGCACACTAAAGATGACTGGATGTAAGGTAGTTGAAGTACAGTTTGTTTAAGTAAAATTAGCTTTCCTCCTAATTTAAATTAGAGCCACTAATGTCTAATTGCTAACTAATGAGTACAGTCCCAAGTAGTCAGAAAAGTAGTCAATTTGATGTCCTTCCTCTCAAGAACAAAACAGTTTTCTAAAGACAAGCTCCACCTTTAAATAATGTCCTGAAGAAACTTAACATTTTTGATCAATCATTTGATCATCAATTTGATCATTTTTGATGGCGGGGGGGGTATAAGTATAAGCCGGGCATATACTGTCCAATTTTTTTGCCGTTTTCGGGCAGATTTCCCAGTCGTGTGAGAATTTTTCGATCAGGCCGGCTTTCAGCTTGATCGTGCAACCTGTAGTCTACAGGGGATAATGAGGGGTGATCAGCCTCTCACGACCACCTACCGATCAGAAATCGGGAGAAAAATCAAACATGTTTAAAATGTTTGAAACCCTGCAGTTTCGTTGTACAGCCCGTCGCACACCCACCAACCCTTTACACCCCCCCACACACACGTATATCTGGTTTCACTATTTCGGCAGGGGCTTTTCATTGACCTCAATTCAATTGTGAGTTATATAGCCCAACCTTGATCCTTAACCTAACCATTACAAGGACATGCCTAACCATAACCAGATCTTCATTCACATCTTAGTCGTAAACCCAATAACTAAGCCTAAAACAGTAATCTCCCACAAGGGGACCAGATGGGGGTCCCCATAAGGATGGTGGGTCCCCACGATGTAGTGGTCTAACAGAAAATTGTGCCTGCCTTGCAGGAAAAACAATTATTCCCCACACACACACACACACACACACACACACACACACACACACGGCACCAAGGCTCAATGTCAAAAAGTAGCACAAATGGGAAAACAAGTTCCTTAACAGTTGAAAGCATGTTGGATACTTCTTAAACACCCAAGGCCTTTACAGTACAGCATTTAGGACCCAGCTAGCTCTCAACACGGCTCTGTTTACCTGGTCATTTAATGTTGGAACCTAAACCGGTTGTAGCAACAAACCTGGTTTTAGGCATGCACACATGCACCTCAGGCAGGTCAAGCTGTTCCTACAGGTTGGGGCTCTAATCACTGAACAAAAAGTTTTACAAATGGACAATTTTGAGTAGTTAATGGCGTGTACTTTTTCCTTTAAAAAACACACCCACCCCTCTTGGCAAACCCCAACCCGCTTAGCAAAATTCTTCAAATTAAAGCAGTGAGACTTGATTTAGAGGACTGAATGTTTAATTCATCGCACAGAAAATCGGTAAGAACCTTTGAGCTTTTAATACATTTTCTTAATTTAGTGAAATAGCAGTACCATTACACTACAGGTGTTTTGAGAATGTGAAGACAATAATTCCCTTTGTTTTATGTAAAAACAAAGGGACAGTATACATTTTACCTTGCCGACTTTACATTGGCCACCAGAGATTATCATTTAACAATACAATTACCAGGATTTTCCGTTTCTCCCTCCTATCACAGTTAATTGTTCCTCCCACTTCCTGCATTACAATCCTACCCCCTTCAGTTTGTTCCCACCCCTTCTGAATGTTCCTGCCACCTCTTACACTACCCCTCCCACAGGTAAGAGAATAATCTTAGAGCTGTTCAGACTCACATCCCCCAAAACAAATGTCCCACTAGCCCCCCCCCCTCCCTCCACCTTCAGAGTCATGTTTTGGCTCATGCCTCTCTGTTGATGAATGCATTAGTGGATATTACATCATTTTAATCAGAGTCACCAGATTTGTTACTAGAATAATAACAAAAAAAAAAAAGAAGCATCCCAAGCAAAGTTCCTAGAAGATTGAGAAGGAAATTAAAGACAAACTCAAATGGAAAACATTTGAGATGTATTTTTCAACTTTATTGTATATTCAGTTTTACAACCATGTGATAAACTCCTGGCTATATTCTCACACACACACACACACACACACACACACACACACACACAGTCAGCTAAACTCCCTGTTCAGAGATTCAATTTAGTTTTTGTTTTTTAACCTATTCAAACATAAAAGTATGTTTGTCATCTCAAAACACTTTATAGAGACAATTTAACCAGATCAGAGTGAAATTGGTTAAAAGCTTTTTTTTTTTTTTTATCTAAGGAGAACCAGCCGATTGCATCTACTCAACCGCAGTCCCTCACACCAAGCATGCGGGTAGTGACAGTAGAGAGGAAAACTCCCTTTTAAACAGGAGGAAACCTCCAGCAGAACCAGGCTCAGTGCAAGAGACCATCTGCCGAGGCCAACTAGGGTTCAAGGAGATGGAAACAGATAATGACAAATGAAATAAGTTCTTTTGTACTCAGGCTCCGCCAGAATACTTTGATGTGAATCAACATTCGCTTGGATGAGTGAACTTGGAGTGTGACAGATAATAGTCCAAGAATGAGGAAGGAGATGGGTAATAGTTTGCTTGCGTGTGAGAGAGAGAAGCTAAGCCAGGAGTTAAATGAAGGGGATTTTGAAAGATCATTGGCTTTGGAGAAGGTGCGGCCCTGAGTTGATTGGCTGTAGCTAAACAATGGACATCACAGGTGGTTCAGGTAAAGCTCATAAGTCTTCCAGATTTAATTTTTCAGTAAAGGTTAATTTGAGATCTTGAATAAGGTATCTCAATCGTTTCCACAATGTACAGAAGCCATTTTTAAATTTAGATCCGCAATTGTCTGTTAAACTAGTCACGAATTCTGATTCTTAACTAAACACTGTGTTTAAAAGTTTAACTACCATATTCTCTCCA